AAGCTTCAGCCTGAGCCCAAACATCTACACTGCAACTTTATAGTTCTGCAGCCTAAGATCAGCAAGCCCAAGTCACCTGACATGAGCCAGCCATGGGTGTTTTATTACAGTATAGACATCCTCAAAGTACTACTGCAAGAAACTGCCTTAAGATGGGAGCTCCCGTTATCCTGTAGTGCTCCCTTGAATGGGGAAGGCTCTTCCTTGTTTGGTCTGACAGGCAGCAACTGCCTCTGTGCCAAATCCTCCTTTTGCAACTCTAGCACAAGGGAATTGCACCCAAAAAACTGAGAGCAACACTTGGCCTCCCATCTTTAAGGCCAAGCTTAAAGCATATTATTGTTCCATGTCTTGGTCATTTCCATAGGATTTTTACCTTTTGGGTGCTTTTGAATGGGTTGTAATGCATTTTGGGATGCACTATATGAAAAGCACTAGAGTAGCTTTTCATTGTACCCATCCTCTTCTGTATATTGGAACCGGTTATATGTATTTGACCTTTATCTCCTGACTTGACATCTGTAAAAAAAACACAGACAATAAGAGAGCCCACACTGAAAGGCAGAATTGGGGTCATTGTACTTGATGACAAAGAGGGATGTGATGTGCACATTTTCTGTAGGATAATGATGTTTCATGTTCCATTGTTTTAATTTTGCCTTCAGTGAAAAGAGCAGCATAGAGAGCCTGCTGTCTGTGTTGTAAGTTTCTTGTTAGCTCTTAAGCTACAGTAAGATTTTGACACACTGGCAAGACAGAAGATCATGCTATGCAGAGCTCATCATTCAGCACCATACTCAACTGTGCTGTTCAGTTCATAGATCAGTGCTCCATTTAAGGTGAGCCTGGAATCCTTCTGGATGACAAAAAAAAAAAAAAAAAATCAAACCATCTGAAGCCCAGCGGAGATTTTCCTGGACTCTTTCTCTCAGTGACCTTTACAAGTCTTCAAAACATATTTCAGCCTTTCCCTTCACTCCAATCAATAAAGAATTTTAAGCCATACGCTCATTACCCTTAAATATCACAGCTGATGGAAAATATGAATGGAAGGAATAAAAGGTGTTATGTTATTACAATGAAAATTCAGAATCACAACTGACCAGGGCAGAAATGGGTTGGCACAAGCTATTTCATTTAGAAGCAGGAAATACGATGAGATTTCCTGAAAAACTGCCTGTTTTGTTTCAACAGCCCTATGGCCCATAGTTACACAGCTTATTGGGAGTAATTGAGCTATATCAAATATTAATATTCAGTTATCACATGCAGTCCATAATACAATGCTATAAAATCAGACATGGCTATGGGAAGAAGAGATGGAGGGGACTGCTGTAATAGAGTAGCACTTTGTGTATGAGAAGCAGTTCCATATGTCACTTTACAGGGTGTCTAGACTGTAGAGTACAATGTGGTAAAATAAACGCAGAACACCTTTGCCTTGCACCTTCAAGCGGAAGATGCAGCAACAGCTGCATAGCAGAGGTCTGAGCTATTCACCTGACTCCTCCAGGCAGCCAGAGAAAGTAGGTCACATTAGCTTCAACTCAGCAGGGATAAAAGGTTTCTTTCTGTAGCAAAAGGGCTAAAGTGTAGGCTAGGAAGCCCTTCAAGGGGAAGCCCTGGGAATATCCAGCTCAGGATGCAGGTAGGGCCAAACTGATGTTTTGTAGTATTGCTGTGCTCCAGGCCTTGCCTGTTTAAATTGTGTCATAAAGGAAGCTGAAAAAAGGCAAAGGGTGTATAAGAACTTGACTTGTGGGAGCTGCGCTTGCTGCAGGGAGTAGGCCCCACCTACCTAGAGCAATAATATTTTGGAATTGTATTGGTTTTCAGTCTTACTAATGTACACCGTTCACAGCATTAGTGAGAGACAGTTAAAAATGTGAACAGTGGGAAGCAAAGTTGTTCTGAGCTTATATTCTCAGCTTTCAGAGGAACAGCCGTGTTAGTCTGTATTCGCAAAAAGAAAAGGAGTACTTGTGGCACCTTAGAGACTAACCAATTTATTTGAGCATGAGCTTTCGTGAGCTACAGCTCACTTCATCAGATGTTTACCGTGGAAACTGCAGCAGACTTTATATATACACAGAGAATATGAAACAATACCTCCTCCCACCCCACTGTCCTGCTGGTAATAGCTTATCTAAAGTGATCAACAGGTGGGCCATTTCCAGCACAAATCCAGGTTTTCTCACCCTCCACCCCCCCACACAAATTCACTCTCCTGCTGGTGCTAGCCCATCCAAAGTGACAACTCTTTACATAATCAAGTCGGGCTATTTCCTGCATAGATCAAGGTTTTCTCACATCCCCCCCACCCCCATACACACACAAACTCACTCTCCTGCTGGTAATAGCTCATCTAAACTGACCACTCTCCAGGTTTAAATCCAAGTTAAACCAGAACATCTGGGGGGGGGGGGTAGGAAAAAACAAGAGGAAACAGGCTACCTTGCATAATGACTTAGCCACTCCCAGTCTCTATTTAAGCCTAAATTAATAGTATCCAATTTGCAAATGAATTCCAATTCAGCAGTTTCTCGCTGGAGTCTGGATTTGAAGTTTTTTTGTTTTAAGATAGCGACCTTCATGTCTGTGATTGCGTGACCAGAGAGATTGAAGTGTTCTCCGACTGGTTTATGAATGTTATAATTCTTGACATCTGATTTGTGTCCATTTATTCTAACACTTGAGATCAAATCCACATTGGCCTGTTAGGTTTAAATAACCTGTTGTCCTCAATCAGACCCACACCAACCACACTTCTTTTGCTCTAGGTCTCTAGTATTCCGTGGTGTTAATACTCTGTCCCATCCTCCTGGCCTCTGATCTCAAACAGGAAACTATTCTCCTCCTCTAAAGATTTTTTTAAGGCTATATACCTTATATATAATAGTACTTGATGACCTGTCCCCAGATCCTGTATGCCCAAGATCAGCAAGCAGCACTGTCTTCAACTGCCACATTATATTTAAACTTTATTTAAAATACATTTTAAATTCAGAGGCTTCCTTTTTAGTATAGGTGTGACCCAAGAACCTCTTCCACAAGGAGGTACGGAAGGCTTACCGGGATATCTTGAGATGCACATCAAAGGTTTGTTTGAGTATATTTGGGGGAGCAGGAAGACAAAGGAGATGCCTGGGCATCCCTCACCAAGGAAGTAAATGGACAGCAAATTTCTTTTGTAAAAGAGGGTTCCCAACCAGGCGTGGTTGAAAATACTGGAGAAGACTTTGGGAGAGATAAGCTTCTTTAGACAGAAGGTTAATCTGTTAATTCACTGAAGTCTCTCAAAAGCATGTTATGATTTTGTTTTGTATGTAACCATTTGTTTCCAATATTCTTACTCTCCATCATTGGAATCTCTGTTCTTTGATAATAAATTTATTCTTATTTTCACCATAAATACATCTCAGTGCTGTGGTGTTAAGGAAAGTGAAGGGCCTGAGTAGAATCTTACAAACTGGTGTGCGCTGTTCCTTTGGGAACAGCAGGCCTAGGTAATTCAATGGGTGTTCATTGGAAAAAGGGCTAGACACTGCAGGTAATGCTCTGAGGACTTGGGAGGTGGTGTTTGCCTATCGCTACCTGTACAAAGAGAGCAAGACCTGCAGAGGCTTGGAAGGCAGTGCTTGTGCTGCCAGAGATTGGTGGTTTCAGGGAGCTGACCCACAGCAGGCACAGACAAGACTCCTTCATGCTAAGGACAGGTAGTGGTAAGGTGCCTTATGACCCTGAGTACCTTTGGGGAACATCACAATAGGAATATCACTAAATACAGCTGAAGTCCTGGACAGTCTTGTCTTCTGCAGACTCACCATCCATTTAAAAACTCTGCAGGACGGCTCCAGGTCCCAGGAACACTGGAAAAGTTAGCTAAGACAGGACCAATGCCGCCAACTGAAAAAAACCAGCATACTAGTATCCTTAGATAAGAGAGCCAGAGACCCTCACAACATATAAGGTGCCACATCTTTATCAGCTCTGCCACATCCACACCAGCTCCCCGAATTCCATGGAGTTACACCAGTTTACACTGGTCCAACGTACAGCTCAGAAAACAAACATATTTTCTTACATCAAACCTGGCATTTTGAAACCTGTCACCACGCTGAAGAACATGGTGCTGCTGCAGGTTTCTGTCTAATACTTGAGCTAAGGAAGTGTGTCACTTTTTTTACATGAAAGTATTCACTGCCCCACTCTAATTTTTCCTGAGGAATAACATGGGCCCGGTTCTCCTCTCACTTACTCACTTTTACAGTAGTATAACTCCATTGATTTTAATGGAATTGCTCCTGCTTTACATCATTGTCTGTGGGAGAATAATCATCCCAGGTGAAGTGAATCATCTGTAACACCGAGTGTGCCAGCCAACATTCTTGAATAACAGCCTCCCTGTTGGCCTATTGATGGCTGGCATGGACCCCCTCCCAATGACATGCAGCGGATGCAGTCTCTGTGCCACCATCCTGCCTGCACCCCTCTCTCTATCTCTTCTTCTGCAGCCCTATTGCAAAGCTGGTGTGGCAAGCCTCCACACTTGGGCAAATTTACACATAATCTCTGTAGGGTGAATCAGAATAGTAATTAACACTTTGGAATGCAGTGAAATAGTGTGGGACTTTCATTCTATTTGATTCATTACAATGAATGACATTTTACCATATTTTCTAGCAGTACAGCCAATAGGAACCCATGTTCATCAAACCCCAACAGGGAAAAATTTGGCTCCATAGCTTCTGAGTTGTGATACCTATGTGCGTCATCATGGGGAGACATCTGTTATTTGGGTCAAGCTGCAACTGATGTTAACTACACAGCTTAAAGTGTGAGATCAAGGAGCCCACGATCATGTCAATGGGCTGGCTGGTATGGATCGCCAGCCCAAGTTCCTTTGCACTAGTACCGTCAAGAACATCTCTGTGGTCACATATGGTCTGGGAACGCCACTCTGCATATTGTCTCTCACGCACAAACAAAATAATTCTTACCAACAATCATGTGGTTGCAGACATCACAGAAAGTGGGTTTTTTGAAGATGTGCTCCTGGAAAACATGAACCTGATTGCTTTCTGCCTGTTGTTGGAGTTTGATAGGTGTGGAGGACCGGCTCTCTGAGCTGGGGAGCTGGCCGGTGCTGGTGCTCACCTCAGGCAGCAAATCAACTTGTAATTTCACGTCACTGTTCGTCCTCTGGAAAAAGTTGTCTGCGCTTTTACTCCGTAAGCTTTTGGTCTTGAAAGAGAGCGATCTTTTCAGTTTCTGGAGCTGCAATGCAACAACAGAAGAGTTGATCACTTTGTTTTTTTTTTAAAAAACACACAGTTGGTCAGGGTCATGTTGTTAGCTGTATCATCAACTTTGTGCGTACATGTAAATTCCCACTGATATTAACAGTATGTTGGGAATGGATTATCCCACTGATGGGACTGCAATGTAATGACTCCACTCCAGTGAGCTACATAATCCACTCCAAAATCCAACTAGCAACTTGAGAGTTAAGAAAAGAGCTTGCAAGGAGAAAACTCATTACTCCTGTAGGCTCTAACAAACAACTCTGTTGCTGCCTTCTTAATAGGTACAACAACAAAGTCATTACAGAGTGTTATACACATACATCCTGAAGAGAATATATGCTCCTGTGTGTTCAAGCCTTACAGAAATTAAAGTGCCATACACCTATGGCATACGGTCCTTGAGTGGCAGGTAAGGCTATTTCAAGAACAGCTGCTAAAGGATGCTGGAAGAGGAATGAATTCAGTGAGGTAGATTATGTATTTTTTAAAATGTCTTCCTTTACAATTCAGTGGAAACAGATACAATATTTACTGGGTTTTGTCCTAGAAATCCTGGTTTTAAAAATAAAAATTAGTGAAGATCAAGAGTTACAGCACTATATGTTTGACCAGAATGTCTGTGTAATTTTCCGGTAATTCAGGCTGGCACTAGTGCTCCCGCAAAGAATTAGCAGTGCTATGAAGGGCAGTGGGTGAGGTCTGGTACCTATCGTGGTGTGAGTTACAGAAGTTGGCAGATTTGACAGGCTCTGAAGTCTAAAGAAGGCAAACAGTCAGGGGAAAGAAAAGCATGCTGGGAAAACCTAAGCTGCTTCTCCTTTCATGTTCATTTATCTCTGACATACAGCATGTCCATTTTGCCTATCACACAGTATTATTTCAACTACAGCAATGCTGGGCCTTATTTTCTTTCTTGAAATTTTCCATGCCACATAGAGTCTGTCTGTGCTAACTAAGAGCATTTGTTTAGACTAGAAACTATTTACACTGGAAACAATGGCGATTGGAAGTGATAATTCAAATTAATGGAAGGGAATGAGCTTACATACTTTCCTGAAAGTGCAGGCGCAGGTCTGTAATCCTGGCACGAGACCTGATGTAGTGGACTTGGAGCTCTGTTATAACCACTTTCCACCTCTGCTCCTATTTTTTGTTTTTAATCATGAAGCCTGTAGCAGATATTAGTGGCCAGAGGCTTCATAAAATGGTGTGTCCCCCTGTTATGAATGGGAGATAGCCTCATCTCCACACCAGGCAGCCATAGGAACGGGCACAAGGGATACTCAGGCTCTTTTCCTATATTTCTCCATGGTCAATTCCATTGGTCCGATGAACATGCAAGGAGGGTCCACTGCCTTAGCTCAGCTCTCCAGGTTAACAACAGTCCAGGTTGCTCTGTTGTAAAATTCTCGGCACTCCTGTTTTACACCCTTCAATGTAATTAACTTTTTCTCACCAGTGACTTCTACTTGGAGGCTTCATGTGTGGCAAGCCCGGGTGTGAACATACAGCACACTAGCCTGCTGTTCACTCTGCAACTGCACACTAAAAGTTCTGCAGGATGCTTTGATGCCAGAGCCTCCATGTAGATAACTCCTTCCTGGGAGAGATCGTGACAACCCCTAAAGTGAGTTGTCAGATACATTTTCTTTCTTGGCATGCAGAAAGAGCCCCGAGGAGCTGTTCAAAGCAAATGCTAAAGTGTTTGCTAAAGACTCACTTACTTCCATTACTCTCCAGGAGAATCATTACCAAACAGAGATCAAATGGTTAACTACTAAGCACAAGGACAAAGTAGCAGCTGATTTCCACAGCTACATCCACTGAAACTTAATACTGGGAATTTCTCAGCCTGAGAAACACTGTACAACAGCACCAGCAAAATGGCTTATATACCCCCTCTTGCGTCTTAAGCCATTGGCCCCCACTGAGTCTCAACTGAGGTTACTTCATATCCCCAGTGACAGACATAAGATCAGCAATTAAAAAAATAAATCTCCTGCTTGCTATTGACCTCAGAGAAACAAGACCTCATTAGTGCAACCAAACACAGAGAATTATAGCAGCATAAGGTGACTGTAATGGCATTCATTATTGATTTGCTACCCATTTCTGCAGTGCCACATGAAGTTAATTAAATCTCAAACATTACTATGCTTCCACCATGGGCAGAAGACTAAGCTGTACTATAAAGTGTTTTAGCTCAAAAAACAAAACAAAACAAAACAACCTTCTCACAAAAAAACCCGCCTAGTTCGACAGATTAAGATTAGTTGAATATTATTTGCTCAGTCTCAGATACAGTGTCATTTGCCAGAGAAGACCTCCACTGAAAACTAGACAGAGAGGCCCAAAGTTTTCAAAAAAGCCACAACCTGAGTGCCACTTGTGTGTGCAAATTTATGCATGCAAATTCTTTTGTGCACACTGTTACCAAAATGATAGAATTTGCACAGTCAGATCCCATTTGAAATCGCACTTGATGAAACAGACGAGTTGTACTCATATAAATCCGGTCACTTTATATGCAAGTAAAAGTGCAAAAATTGTAGCCTGAGTGGTTATATATGATAGTAATGAACACATTTGGAAGCCCTAGACCTGATTCTCTATGGTTTTGCACCTAGTGTAGTTAATTACACACCCGTGCAATTTAAGTGCAAATCCTGGTACGGCAGTGTTTTTTTTATCCACTATGCACAGATATAAATGACAGGACAAGGTGCATATGTAACACTGACAGACCCCAGTCATTGGCAGGCTCTTAGCTAAGGCTGTAGACAAGACTCATTAATCTTTCTCTAAGTGGTCTTGGTGCCACTCCATGGGACAGAGCACCGCACCCAGGAGGTGTGTGGGTTACATAGGCAATGGAGAATCAGGCCCCATGTTTTGAAAGTTTGACTGAAACTAGTTATCTGTAACTACATTGTGAGGAGAAATTGGCCCATTAGAGAACCCTAAGTATGCTATTGGATGTGAATGCATATCTTTGCTTCTGATTTATCCTAATCTACTAGAGGGAGGATGATGCAAACAACCAGCTAATTGGGGAGAGTTGAAGACTTTTGTGAACATGTAAATGGCAAAAGATGTAAAATATAGTATTAGTCACATACATGATTATGCTGCAGTCAAGCCAACACTGATTCTTTAAACAAAGATTTCTGTTTAAGCTAATTCATTTTGTTGAACACTGAAAGAGATCTTAAAAGACATGTCATGAAACAGTCACATACACGGTTTGCCTGATTTTCATCTCTTTTAGACAAATGTAATGCTACTGTGAGGCTACTGACTTACTGGAGCTAATATGATGTTTCGCTGGTGTAAGTGAGATCAGAATCAGACTGACCATTTTCGCTCATCAGAGCAAAAACATACACAGTTTCAAGATTTTTAATCTCTCTCTAGAGACAAGGCCACAACAAAACCCCAGATCTGAATTCCGGAGAAATTTGAGCTACAAACAAAGTTTACACCTAGATCTTGATCCTAGCTGCTGAAGACAGCAGCAACCCAAACTTCTAGGATTACCAACCCCCACAATTTGAAAATAATGAGTCAAGGCCTGAAACCCCTCACTCCCCATTAGATTACTTAAAGACATCTCACGATTTTTAAGCCAATACATGGGGATACTTTTCTGTTTTTAGGGCTTTAGGGTTACTTTTTTTCCTGCAAGCATAAGAGCTAGAAACTTTCACTTATAAATAAAATAAAAGTAAGCTGAGATACTCATTAGTTCAGAAACTGGGGGGTTTAAGACTCCCCCCCACCCCCCAACGAAATATTGCAAGACTTACAATAAAATCACACAGATGAACCCTAGAAGGCTCGAGTTCACTCTCTGATTTGAAACCCAGCATGTTTCTGTGCCTTTGAAATTAGGCACAAAAGTTCGCCAATCCCTAGTTAAAAGCATTATATCATCCAAGCAAATGCTGACAGCACGCACTGTACCCGGAAGGCAGGACACACATAACTGCAATAGCAACTTCTAAGAGCGGATTAACCTTTTCCTGGGTATTTTATACCACAATCTCTTCCTCCCTACTGTCTCACTGAGTATTCCCGCCCCAAAGATTCTCACAGCTCCACAGAAATAATAGTCTCACATTGTTTCCTCTGTTCCTTATTTCCTATGGCTTTACTGTGTGTGTCCTGATGCCTCCCAAGGTCTGGGAGAGTGAGGGATCATTTGCCAGGATAGGTTGTAGATCGTTGATAATGTGCTCACTCTCACAGACCTTGGAAGGCAGGCCAGTCCTCGTTTACAGACAGCCCCACAACCTGAAGCGAATACTTACCAGCAACTACATGCCACACCACAGAAACACTAACCCAGGAACTAATCCCTGTAGCAAACCTCGTTGCCTACTCTCTCCCCATATCTACTCTAGTGACACCATCAGAGGATCCAACCACATCAGTCACACCATCAGGGGCTCATTCACCTGCACATCTACTAATGTGATATATGCCATCATGTGCCAGCAATGCCCCTCTGCCATGGACATTGCCCAAACCGGACAGTCCCTATGTAAAAGAATAAATGGACACAAATCGGACATCAGGAATGGTAACATACAAAAGCCAGTGGGAAAACACTTCAATCTTCCTGGACATTCTATAACAGATTTAAAAGTAGCTACATTAGAACAAAAAAAAGCTTCAGAAACAGATTTCAAAGAGAAACTGCAGAACTAAAATTCATTTGCAAATTTAACACCATTAATTTGGGCTTGAATAAGGACTGGGAGTGGCTGGCTCACTACAAAAGCAGCTTTGCCTCTCCTGGAATTGACACCTCCTCATCAATTATTGGGAGTGGACCACCTCCACCCTGATCGAATTGGTCCTATCAACACTGGTTCTCCACTTGTGAGGTAATTCCCTTCACTTCATGTGTCAATATATAATGCCTGAATCTGTACTTTTCACTCCATGCATCTGAAGAAGTGGTTTTTT